GCAATCGCGATGCCGGTGGTCTTCTGCACCACAAGTGAGGCACTTCCTAGCCCGCTCAGCCTTCGGAAGTGCGTTCATATCGTGACCGTAAGGGCATTTGGCTCCGCGACGACATCCTGTTGGCTTCATAAAGTACTTGCATTCCGGCTTTGAGCTCGCCGCCGAAGTAGGGCTTCCTCCCACTGCCGCTGCCCTTAGCTTTGGCTGAGAGCCCACAACCACCGAGCCAGCAATGTTTTCTACTTCCGCTTGAAGGTGCTGCTGATACTTCATCACATCCTCCAGGGCCGGCTGCTGATCTATCCTCAACGTAGCCCTTACCAACTGCGTTCGGAACATGGCGTCGGGAACCTTTGTTATTGTGGAAGAAGTAAGAGTCGTGAGAGCCCGCGCCAATACTGTACCGTCTGGAACTGCCATGCCCATATCCTTGCATCGTTGAACCCAGCGTGGCCATGCCCTGAGTTGTCGTAGGCACTCTTCTGTGCTCGCAGCTACATCACTTCCTTGCAACCGCTGCAAAATCACTGTACGCTCTCCGGCTCCTCCAGGCTGATATACTGTAAACAACCTGAACAACAACAGCGGCATACTTTGGGTCGCTCGTCTTGCAATCAGATCAGACTTGACAGACTCTGGAACCGCTTGCACCACCATTGCACATGCCCTAGCATTGATGCGGACATACTTTCCCAGCACCAAATTTGTTGACCTCCTGGCTCAATGCTGAGGCGCTCCAAGGGCGCAGCACTCAACCAGCGGTTGTAGGCCTGAACCACCGTCTCCTTGATTGCTTCCCACCACGACCCAGAGCTTGCTGAGAGATCCTGCATCGACGTTGTAACCTGAATCATCCAGTCCTGAAACTGAAGTCCACCTTGATCTCCTTCAGGTAGCCCTAGCACTGGTAGAGTTGTCATTGCAGTCTTCACGGCCTCAGGAGCGTCATCACTTGCATCCTCCTTGGTAAGCGCCTTCACTTGGAGCTCCTGAATCTGTCTCATACTTTGCGCCAAAGCCTCGATCACACCCAAACCGTCATGCCCCGACCAGGTCGCCTCCGGATTAGCCGCCGAGCGCGCTGCTGATGGCATTCTCGACTGGTCTGTTGCCGGATGTTGTTTGGGCGTAGTTCCCGAGGAAAGCTTTGGAATCTTTCCGGTCAGACCTTCCCATAGTCTGCTCCACGACTCACCCCTACCATCTGGTACTACAGGTACTCCTGAAACATCACCCTGCGGAACTCTTGAAGCACCTTGATGACGATCAACATCACATCGCGGTAGAGGTGGAGGCGGCATAGACCTAGGAGGTTGCCCCGTCGTAGCTCTTGTTCGCTCGGCATGCAATTCCCGCTGAAGTCTAGCATTGTCCCTCTCCATCTCCGACATTTTATTGAGAAGGCCTGACATTTGTCGCTGTACTTCAGCCTGGATTGCTTCTGCTGGAATGCTGCTGCTGGTTGGGGTGGTAGTCGAGTTATTAAGCCTATTACCCTTAGGGAACCCAGAACCTTGCTCCATTTGCACATCGGACCGCGTTGTCAGCATCTTTGGTGCTCCCGGGAGGGCACCACGAACAGGTCCTGGCGGTGAAGGCATAGGACTCGGCAACCATGTATTAGGAATAGGGGGTCCCTTAAATAGGTCACCCAATCTTGACACCCATCCAGTCCACTGCCCAGCATTTCCAGACCTTGGCTGTCCGAAGCTCGCAAAATGCGAGCCCACATTCGACCTCGGCGTCTGGAACCCTGAATTGACTCCAGCCCTTGCCGCATCCACTTCAGTCGCTGCTTGGTCCAGCTCCACACTCACGCGCTGAGTTGCAAGTTCCACTGCAATTTCAGCCCCTTGGGAGCTGGTTTGCATGCCAGTCTGCGACTCCAAAACAGCACGTCCAGTTGAATCTGCACTTCCCACAGCCTCTTCCGAGTTCACTCTAATATCTGCCGCAGTCTCATCTACGGAAAGAGCCGCCACATCCTTGGACGCTTCCCCCTCCGCCTCCCTTTGCTGACAGCATTGGATACCATCCATCACATCGCCTGCCGTCTCCAGAGAAACCAACGGAGCTGCCAGAAGAAACTCCTGAGACCCTCGGGGTTGGTCTTCTGTCTGCGGTCTTACGATACCGTTCACTTGCCCAGTGGTAACATCTTGGGCTCTCATAACCTCGAAAAGCGAGACACCACGATTGCAAGCTCAGAGCAGGCTCAAACCATGGCGACTCTCGAATTTAGCGGATCTTTTTCTCAACAAACCGACAGATTAAGCGCTTACAGGCTTCGAGATAAAAGGACGGGCACAAACATGCTTAGCATTTGTCTGCCTTCGTCGCTATAGCTGCTGTGTAAAAGCTTGTCGGTCATGACCCAAGGCCTCTCTTCGCAGCCATGCCTAGAGCCACAGCAGCCATTGAACAGTGCAGCTTCACTGACCCGAAAGTACTGTTGCGAAGCCCTGACTCCGACCTGGATTTCCTCACTCCTCCTCAAGTGTGCCGCTAGGCTGGACTTGACTATCCCCGATCGATTCCAGGGCGGTCGAAGTTTGGCATCTCACCAGACCTCAAAATCTCATCCAAGGTCGGACTCGGCACTGCGGGATTGCTTCCTCCATGCCTCACACAGTACTCGCAGATGCGTAATGTCTGCACTCGCTCTTGGGTACCTCGATGTCGAAAGGCATGGCACGGATTAAACACATGGTAGCACTGGTTGCCAGGAACCACATGAATTCTTTCAGGAACCCGAACTTCCCTTCTCACTTCCGTTCGAATTTCTGTCTTTGCCGGCGCAAACGCCGGTCCTGTGGTTTGCACTGCACGGTCTCGTTGATCTGCTCTGTAACAAGTCCTAGCTGAACTCAGCGGCGTATCCGGCACTCGCCCAGCCGATGCAGACCGGTCCCTTGAAGTCGAGCTACTGTCATATTGTCTCTGAGCGTCCAAGGCGCGCTCAACCTCTGGTGGAATCCGGGACGTTGTGTCTTGCTCTCTCTGTGCACGCAGTTCATTTTGTATGGCTTCCGTTGTTGCATCACGAATCCTACGCAGTCGCCTCATTCTTCTTGCAGTTGCCCCCGGTGTTGCTGAAAGGTATAGTGACTGTCCTGCGAACTTAAGGAGCTCCCATGCCACTGTCCACAACAAGGCCACAACAGCAAACACGCACCACATCACCAAGCTCCTGTCCACCATCATAGGCTCATGCAGTACGACTTCAGTTGCCTCACAAGTTGTTGCCTGAGACAAGACCATCATCGCAACTAATACCTTAAACCCGTAGGGGCTAGGGGCATTGGCACTGCTGCGGCTGCTGTTGCTATGCTGCTTCCTGGCCTCTTCAACAATCTCCTCCAAGGACATCAGACCCATCATGCGAGATAGCGACCGCAACCTCAACGACGAGAGCGGTTTCGTGAGAGCATCAGCTACCTGAAGATCTCCAGGCCAATGTTCAAGCTCCATGTCGTTGGCCTGCAATCTCTCGCATATCCACCCGGCCTTAATCCTCAAGTGACGTGTGCGCCAAGAGCCCGATCCACGCTGGATTGCTGCCGCTGACGTACTGTCTGTACGCAGCCTTGACTTCATCAAGCCCAGTTTCAGCTCTGAAAGAAGCGCTTCTGCGCTGAGAAGGGCCAAGGCTCCTTCTACACTTGCTGCCAGCTCACTTTCAGCCGTCGACAATGTTATGGTGCTTTGGCGAGCCGATCTCCAGTTGATAGGCGACTGCCCCATCATCAGCAACCACCCTGTATGCGAGCGTCCTCCATCAGGTGCATAGGACGCGTCCGTCCAAGTAATGAGCTCGGGTGACGTGGTATTTATCCACAAGTACTGCTTGGACGTGCCTTGGAGGAACCCGATGCACTTTCTGGCGATCGCGGCAGCGCGCCTTGGCGCCCTGGCGCTGAGGGAGCTGATGAGGCTGGAGGTATAACTTATATCTGGTCTCGTACGCTGCGCCACCCACAACACCTCACCGGCCAGTTGCTGAGCCAATTTCAGCTCACTTGAGGTGAAAACCGCTTCCTCTGGCTCTACCTCAAAACTGGATTGCCCCTTTGCCACCGGAATCAAGTCCCTCTGTGTCGGCGGAATTGCATGAAGCCTTGTCAACTCATGGATATACGGCTCCTGATTCAGGGCAAAGCTTTCCCGAACCTTCACGATCTCAATGCCCAAGAAGCGAATACCTCCCTCTGAAGCCCAGGACAAGGTACTTGTTTCCCACAACGACCTCACTGCCTTCGAAACCGCCTCGATGATTGACGGGGTAGAGCAAATTAACAAGTCATCAACGTAGATAACCACCAGCCCGACCAGCGCAGAGTCTTCAACGAGTCTCCACCAACTTCCTTCGACTCGACACTGGAGTAGCTTTATTCTCCGTGCTCCAACCACAATGTTGAGCTGAGCCATCTTCGCATCCCTGAACTCACCCCACCATCGCGGTGATTCGCGGAGTCCATAAACAGCATGAGTGAACTCCCATAATTCTTGTTCATGACAAAGACCAGCTCTAACCAGTGCCCTTGGAGGCTGCCCAAGGATTCTTTGTTTGCACTGCACCTCGTTCAACGGAGTCTGTAGAAAAGCAGCCGTCACGTCAAGAACAGCAGCATCCCATCCATACATACTAGCCACCGACAACGACGACCGAACCACCTCCGCTGGAGCTGCTCCCGCATATGTCTCTTCACCACTGTCTGCCATCATGTTACCACACGCCACGATTCTGACCTTGCGACGGTACAACTGGCCTTCACTCACAGCCTCTTCGGACGGTGGCTTCACAGTGTAAACCATCTTCATCGGAACGATCTTTGCTTTCCCGCTCTTCAGGTCTGCAGCGACTTGAGGATCGCTGCCCCGAACCTTCTTTGCAGCCTTGTCAAAGGAAGAAATCTCCTTCATTGCTGGCTTGACCCACTCGGAAAAGGAAGAAGCTGCCTCGGACGGATCAACATTGTGCACCACTGTCAACGGAGACTTCAGTGAATGAAGAAGTTCTTCAATCCCAGCTGTATAAGTGACTTCCGTCTTTGCCAGCACTGGAACTCCATCACACGAAGCAATCAGAACTTTGGGAACTTGCCTGGGGTCACCATCCTCAAGTGGTAGAAACATATCCCAATGCTCTAACTCCTCTGCCCCTTGTACTTGGCATTGCCAGCTCTCATCCCAATCCTGAAGGCTTTCCACACCTCTCTCATGGAGCGTTGAGCCATCCGACACCAACACACTGTTCTCCTCATCCACAACGGCCTTCTCCTCCTGGACAGTGCTCTCATACTTTATCTGTGACACTGAAAAAACCCGAAGAGCGACCATTGGCGACGTCATTTCAACCTCAGCTGGAATTGGGAAACCAAGCTCTGCCAGCACTGCTCGTTCTGGTCCTGAGAGGTTCTGTGGTACTCCCGGTGTATAACCAACTACCACCACCCTCATACCTTTCCACGGCAACACCGCATGTCGACGATGAGGATTGAACGAGATAACAGTTCCACTTGTAAGCGGTTGTATGCATCCAAACCTAGGCTTCTTGTTCTGGTCCATCATCTCGATTATTTTTCCTTGAACAACATCACCATCACGAAGCTCCATCCACAGATCTCCTCCTCGGGGTGGCATTGCAATCGGGTAGACATAGTTCTGCATTCCAGTAAGATTGTTGCAATCCACATGAATTTCTCGTGTAGTGTTCACAGAAAGGTACAAAGCCGTAAACTCAGCCTCCAGACACCTTTGTCTCAAAGCCTTCACGAAAACTCTTGCTATCC